AGGATTGCATTGAATCTGTAGATTGCTTTAGGCAGGATGGCCATTTTGACAATATTAATTCTTCCTAGCCAAGAACATGAGATGAATTTCCATTTATTAGTGTCCTCTTTCTCTTAAGAGTGTCTTATAGTTTTTAGGGCATAGGTCTTTCACTTGCTTGGTTAGGTTTACTCTTAGGTATTTTATTCTTTTTGATATAATTGTGAATGGAATTGTTTTCCTGATTTCTCTCTCTGCTAGTTCACCGTTAGTGTATAGGAATGCAACAGATTTCTGTGTATTGATTTTGTATCCTGTAACTTTGCTGAATTCAGATATTAGATCTAGTAGCTTTGGAGTGGAGTCTTTAGGGTTTTTTATGTACAATATCATGTCATCTGCAAACAGGGACAGCTTAACTTCTTCCTTGACAATCTGGATGCCTTTTATTTCTTTGTGTTGTCTGATTGCCGTGGCTAGGACCTCCAGAACTATGTTGAATAAAAGTGGGGAGAGTGGACATTGTTCCCAATCTTAAAGGAAAAGCTTTCAGCTTCCCACTGTTAAGTATAATGTTGGCTGTGGGTTTGTCATATATGGCCTTTATTATGTTGAGGTACTTGCCCTCTATACCCATTTTGTTGAGAGTTTTATCATGAATGCATGTTGAATTTTGTCAAATGCTTTTTCAGCATCTATGGAGATGAGAAGAAGCCATATCTTAAATGTTTGAAAGTGTATCATTAAAGGAAAACAGAAAAAGATTGTTTATCTGGGAATCTCAACTCTGGGAAGCATTCAAGTAATATTTTTTTCAGTATCATTTTTTAATTAATGTTTTTATATTATGTCTCTTTAGTAACTGGCTAAGAATGTGCTACAGAGCACAGTGCATAATAATGGTGAACTACTGGGCTGCAAATAACATGCTTTGATGTTAAGGAACCCCCCCCTGCAAAATATATAAACTCCAAAATGATCATGCCAGGTGCCAGTCATCTTAGACAAGAGATTTCCTACAGTACAAACCACAAGGTGTTATAAACATTCTCAGATTTAGGCTAATATGAATATTAAAGATAGTTTTTGAAATGCATTTTTATGAATTTGCAATTTGTGTTTGAAAAAGGTCCACCCATTTTCTGAATAGATTAGTATTTCATACTTTTATTATACCTAATAATTCCAAACAAAAGGCAGGAAAATAGCTGAAAAGTATTTACAAATGAGTCTACGTAGCACTAGATGAAAATTTTAAAATTTACTCATTTCTTTAATGGAATTAAACAGTTCAAACACAACCCCAAATAGCATTTCTTTTTTATATGGTCAAAGAATTAATGAATGGTAGAAACTGTACAGCTAGCAGAGACTATCACACTCAGCTAAATATCCCAGGGGAGGAAAAGGCATGAAGGAGCAGCTTGGAAACTACCCTAAAGGTCATAGCTAAACTCAGGTGAAAACCAGCCTCTTAAAATCCTAGTACAGGGATCTTTCCTCTATCTACTTTGGTTAAATAATTAAAAGTCCATTTCAAGTTGTTTCTATATAAATAGACCTGTGAAGAATTTTTCTTCTTTTAAAAATTACACTGTACCTTTCACTGATGTAACATTTCCCATTTTACACTGACATATTTTTTTTGTGTGTCATTGCACCAAAGGACAGTAGAAGTTACCTGATCTTCTATAGGCATGACTAGAATGCCTCCAACTTTTAGTAATATTTTCATGTAGTTTTCATGGTCTTTCTGGACTCCAGCTCCACAATAAATTCGATCATACTGATGACTGTCTGATGCTATCTGGAGGCAATTACCAACCACAAATGCAGGTTCACAGAACTCAAATCTACATGGAAAAAAACAAATGTATTTTAATTCATTTAAACAAAAGATTAGATCTAAAAAATTAACATAATCCAGTTCTTTGAAATACTGAAGTTATCAAAATTAATTATAAGGATAAAATATCATTATGAAATTTAAGTATCATATTTATAAAGTTTAGCACTGATCAAATGTACTGATTTATTATCAATGATACAGTACAGGTTTTGAAAATATTAACCTATTTTTTTGCCACACTTAAACTTAAGCCTTAAAAAATGAATGTAATGAAAAGCCCATCACAACACCAAACTTGTGATACCCCACAAATGATGTATCATAAGGATGAGAATCACAAGGTCAAACAAATGAGAAAGGCTTCACTTTCCACTGCCTTTTCCAAAAAAAGCAGAAGGACCAGTAGACATGAGAAGGGATCATGCAGTATTCCTCTGTTTGACATTTCTGCTGTGATTAACAGTGGCAAAGCTTTGTCAGGAAATGACGCCAGTGCACTGCCCATACCCTTACAACCACTAAGATTAGGAAGATTTCCCCAATAAGTTTTAGCAGAGTTTTGTTACAGGATTGGGACAGAGAACAGAATAGTGTTTTTCTTTCTCATGCTTTGGCCCTTGTGATCTCCCTACGCAACAAGCGATATGGTTTCAAAGCTAAGACATTTTATCCAGGCCCCCTGTTCCTGGTTACAGTGTTGGTTCATGGTATATATATAGTTATGCTGTCACAAATTAATCTATTTAGACTTCTACTTTATTCTTACATTCTGAGAAATCTGAAAATAATCTCTAACATATATAATTAAAACCCCCAATGCACTAATAAAACATGTGATCCTTTTTAAAATTAATTTAGGGAATATCCTTTCACATTTAAGTTAATTAAAGTTAATATGGCACAGTAAAATCAAGGTTATCATTTGATGAAATAATTTACATTAAAAGTTTTGGCATGCAGTGAAAAATGACACTGATTGAATCACTTTTACTTTGTAAAACATATTCTCTCCTTTGGTCATTAATAGACTTACTACATGAAAAGTTTACATTGAAATTCGCTAAATCACAGACACACTATGATCATTGATATTTAAAGAAGAGTTCTCAATCTCCTAACTTCTCCACAGAGGGGCAGATGGTGTGGGTGAACAGGGTACCCACTGTGCATATCTCCCCACCCCGACACTAAGCCATCATGATAAATGCCTACTAACACTTCAAGCTACAGTTCAAATATTGGCTTTGCAATGAAATTTTATCCAACTTAATAATATCCCATTCTTTCTACTTGTGTAGTACATACAAAATTGTAAACGTACATAGGCACCATTTTTAACTTCTCTTTTATCAAGACAACCTAAATATGGCCAAAATGTTTCTGGGCTTTTAAAAAAATCTGATACTATGGATCACATGGTTTAATCATTTTATCAAACTCAGAGTAAGCATTCTTTAAAAAAGACTATTATTTTCAAGGAAATCTAAGTCTTCATTCTTCTAAAATATATTGTAAATAATTCAATTTTATAACAATTTAAGTCAGTCTTGTAAATGTCAGTGTGAATGTGAGCAGGGAATTTAAATAAAAAAATCTGAACTGCTAAACCTCTTATCAAGTCTATTAAATCAACTCAAAACTATGTTTATGGTTTTATAAGCTTCCTATTCATTAAAAAAACATGACAGCTTAGAGAACTATTACCCAGGAAAACACTATTACAAGGAAACAACTTAAAATAAAACCATTTATCGTATTAGTGGTACTTTATACGTTCTCATCCCAGCAAAATAAATTAAAAAGAAGTTAGTGCCTGATTCTAAAATCAAATGTGTGACTAGTCAAGTTACCTAATACTAATAATTAGTACAGCCCAGTAAGTCAGACACTATTTATTAAGCACCAGTTGCATGTAGACTATAAATGCAATGGGAAACACTTCTGCCAACATATAGCGGAAGGAACAAACATCAATCTCACTAATTAACAATAAATTTACAACTCTGATAAATGCTCTAAAGGGAAGGAACACAAATCTGTAAGTCTAAGAACGAAAGGAAACTGAACCTGGGGACTCAGGGAAAATTTCCCTCAGAAATGACAAACTGTGGTCTAAAAGGAGACAGGGCAATCTAGAGCCACACTATCTAGGATAATAGCAACTAGCCACATGTGGACATTGGGCCCTAAAAGCGTTGCCAGTCCAAACTGAGATGTACTGTAAAGATAAAATTAACATGGGATTTCAAAGATTTACTACAGAAAAAAAAGTTTTTTTTTATATTTCAACAGCCACACAAACTGAAAATAGTAACTATCCTTGTACTTATCACCTATAAACAGGAGCTTCAAATATTTTAACACAACCTTCCTTTTGAAACACTCTCCTGGTTTTTCTGTTAACTCTTTGAATATTTCTCCTGAGTTTTAACTGTATCTCCATCACCTATTGTACTTACTAAATAATTGAGCCATATAAGGAACATAAATGTTTGTCAACTTTTCCACCTACCAACTTTGAATATAAGCTCAGATTTGATAAACATGCTAATCACAAAAATATCAGGACTAGGAGAGAATCTTGCCCAGAAATAGCACATAAAAACATGTACCTATGTATGGCACTCTCTGTATCAGTACAATTGTTCATGTTTTAAATTAGGCTACTGTAAAAAAAACTGTAGGATCCTGCTACAAAACACATTTTTTTCTCCCAAAATGCCAAACTCAAATGAAGTAAAAAACAGAACAAACCTTTGGCTTTAATGAACAAATCAACTGTCCTATGACTGAAAGGCATTTTTGGGGGGGTCTTTCTGAAGATCTTAAATAAGCCACCCTTATTCTTGGGGAAAAAACCTTACTGTTTTCCCTTGCAATGTAAACTGAACAAATATATTTGCTTTCACTTAAGGAATATTACAAAGCATTAGAGAGTAAATAAGATCTTATTTTATAAATTTCTACTAATGCAAATGGAACATATATGTCTAACAAATGCACACAGGGTCTTTACACTTTCATTTAACATGTTTACATTAATTTCCTTTACCACAAGAATCAGATTTGAAAGTTTAGTTGAACTTGAGACAATATCCCAAGAGAATGAGACTATTTTTAGACAGAAATAGTAAAACTTCAAGAATGTAAGTAAAATTGAGGAGAAAAGTATATTTTTAAATATTGGCATTAAGACATCTAGAACAGTAGAAAATTCATATGTCAAATACATTACAAAAAAGTTGTAACACCACCAGTTTAGTACTTTTAAGAAAAATGTCTACCAGAGATAGTGTCCCATCTGGGAATTATTTATTATAACTACGGCTTGATCTTTTCTACCTATAGTACATGAAGCCTTCATATTAATAAATGAAACAATTCTCAAATTGCATATACTTAAAATATTTTTTAAAAATACATAAATAGGTTATAGGTTATCTTTCCTAATAAAGGACTTTTGGATGAGCTTTCGTATATCTGACTAGGTACATAGTTAAGGCTTTAGACATTTATACTCTAATACTAAAATTATGATATGATTTTATAATAGTATTTCATGTAAATAAATTCATACAAATTCTACTGCTATCATTTTTTTCAGAAAGCTATCATTAAAATTTTTCAGGCAAATGTTTATGGATATGCTCACGGCCGTTACCACATCAGGCTCAACTCATATATATGAAGAATTCAGTGACTGATAGAAGGCACAGATGACGGCTACCATGTTATTATCAGAATAAATTACAACTCCTATAAATTCCTTCAATGTAGAAAAGAAAATAGAACACATTCTTCCTTAGGCTTTTATTGTCTAAAAGCCACATCTTATCTAGGTTTCCACAAACCTCTATAGGCAAAGGACATATTTCAATTTTTAATTTTGAAAATGACAAATACAATTTCTATCTCATCTAGAAGACTTCAGCAATAAACTAACCATAAGTTTTCAGTCTGTTACAAAACAGTACTGTACTATTTATAGATTTACACATAAAATCTAGGTTAAAATTAGTGAAAGAGAAAATACCAATTTTACCTTTTCACATCAACCAAATACCGAATGAAACTTGGGAAGGGGAGAACAACAAAAAACAGCAAGAGGTGCACAAAATGATACCTCCTATGTGACTGTAACCGTAGTTATAAAAGTATAGTTTATTGTTCTTTTCCTAATTTTTATAGTTGACTTCAGGGAGTTCATTAAAATTTCACGATAGTAAAATGAAAAGTAGATTTCATTTTTATTCTGAAGAAAATTTCCAAAACAGAATTTCCTAGAAATAACTCGAACTCCTACTAACACTAAATTATACCTCCTAACAGTATGTTAAACAGTTTTGAAATGTGTGTAATAACTACAAAGTCATTCACTTTAGACTTATAATCATTTATTGATTTGAACCTGAAAAATCTAATGACTGTTTTTAGACTCTCTTATACAAGGCAGGAAAAATATTTGACACTCTTACTAAAATGTACACTGAAACTCATTTGTGGGAAAATATGGAGCACATATGTATCTTGCTTTACAACATGAATACTTGTTCAAATTAACACTAGGATTCTAAACACTTACCTTAGCAGTGGTTTTCTTTGTAGGTGTATGTTGGAATATCTTCATCTTGAGATGGACAGATGATTTCGTTCACAGCAGGGACCTTGCCAACTTGCCCATATAATTCTTTTGAAAAGCTGCTAGGAGATCAGGGTGACCTAGCCTTGCCCTGCAGCTTCCCTCTTAGACGGATAGTCTAGGTCTAGGAGCTGACTGAGAGTAGAAAAAACAATATTCCCCTTCAATACACTGTTGAAGTGGGGGCTGACAATTTGCACACCTAGTTTATCATGTGCCACAGGATGCTGTCATTGAAATTTTAGATAATTATTCCAATAGAATAAAGGATTTCAAGGGCATAGGAAAGAATCCTGCATTGTTCTCCATACCTCATCCAAAACAACTTGCCAAATTAATCACAGAAACTTATTTTTCTTAAAACA